TAGGGTCCGGCAGCGCAGGTCGGCGTCGCCGCCTCCGAGTCCAGCGGTCCCGATGCCCAGCCCGCCCGTCAGTTCTCCTGACGGTTCTCCCCACTCGCGTCTCGACACCACCTGCTCGGCACACGGCGGAGGATGATGGCGGAGGAGGAGGATTTTGAAAGCCGGCAGTTTCTTTCCTTCGATTTGATTTGTTCGAGGCCCTGACGGCTTCCCCGGCCCCCGCGCGTGTGGCCTACGGGGAGTGGTAGTCCAGTTCTCCCGCTTGGGGCGCGGGAGAGAGCGGCCGCGAACTACCAATCCCGTGATGCAACGCGCCCAGAGCGCCGCCGCCGGCCCCTCTCCGCCCTCCCTTTTCAGCTTCTGGCTTTTTCTGCGGGAGACCACAGGGCGGCGTTTAGACGTAAGCGCCCCGGAAGACTACAATTCCCTTTATGCTTTGCGGCCTAGCATCCGCCCTTCTGGAAAGGTGCAAACTCACTTAACAAAGCCGTAGAGCCGAAGGCACGCTGTTGGGTCAGTTCAGCAAGCGGTAGGTATTTCCTAAAGGGAAAGCTGCGCCTTTTTTTTTTTCCCCCATGAATTTGAAAGGATATTGGAATCTTTCCATGTAAATAGCCATAAATTACTTGATAATTAAAAAGGGAAAATAGTAACCCTATGGTAGAGAAACTCTGTGACACTACACTACCTTAACCCAAGTGGTCCACCTGACATTGATAACAGGACAAACTGGCATCCATCGTACACCTCCCGATGTGATGCACTGAGAACGCAGCATCACCATCCAGTGAGCAATGCTTACAATTCATCTAATAACGAGGGAACATCAGACAATCCCAAACATGTTCCAGAATAACTAGTCTGTACTCTTCCAAAAACCTTCTGTCGTGAAAAAGACAAAGAAAGGCTGAGGAATTGTTGCAGATTAAGGGAGGCTAACAAAACAGGACAACTAAATGCAATACATGATCCTGTACTATAAAGGGTAATATTGAGCCCGGCTAGCATGGCTCAGTGGTTGAGCGTGGATCTATGAACCAGGAGGTCACGACACATGCCCCGCCCCCCCTTGATCCCCAATAGGGGCCCCAGTAGGGGGCGTGCAGGAGAGCCAATCCATTATTCTCTCTCATCACCATTATTCTCTCTCATCATTGATGTTTCTCTCTCTCTCCCTCTCCCTTCCTCTCTGAAATCAATTTTAAAAAAATTTTTTAAAAAAGGTAATATTGAGACAATTAGCAGAAGTTGAAAAGGGAGGGTGAAGAGGGGACCCGCGGCAGCGCTCTGGGCATGTTGCATCACGGGACTGAAAGATAACAGTATTGTATCAACATTAAATTTATTGATTTTTATTACTGTGCTGGGTTATGTAAGAGACTGCCCCTGTTCTTGGAAAATACATACTGAAATTATTAGGAGCATGAGGTCTGCAACTTACTCTCAAATGATTCAAGCATTCCTGTAAGCCTTCATGATGTAAAGCAAAGAAGCAATTACCATTAATTTATATGGGAAAAATTTTAAGGGTTCCCAGACTCAAAAAATAACCTACCCAATTATATCAAATAACACATAAAATCTAAGCTAACACAAGCACAGAGTAAAAGCAAGAATGATGTGATATACGGCCTATATAAAGTAGAAATAACGTATGTACAGTGCAGTTTCACTTTCTACAGCACACTGTGTATAACAGCTCACTGCAAAACCCAAGCATAGCTCACCACAAACACTAACGCTATTTTTAGTTTTCATCCATTTTCTGAAATCTTTCTGATTTCTTTCAGTTATGAAAAACAGGTAGTCATCCCTCAATATCCATGGTGGATGGGTTCCAGGACCCCACCAGAGTGCCAAAATCTGCAGATGCTCAAGTCCCTTATATAAAATAGTGTAGTATTTGCATATAACCTAAGCACATCATCCTGTATACTTTAACCATCTCTAGATTACTTGTAATACCTAACCCAATGTAAATGCTGTGTAAACAGTTGCTGTACTATATTGTTTAGGGACCAAGGACAGGAAAGAAAGTCTACCTGTTTGGTACAGATGTAACCACTGTAAGGCCTAAGTACACGGTACGACAGCATAACTTTTCCCCCCAAAATATTTCCAGCCCTGTTGATTGAACCTGAGGATGCAGAACCCGCAGGGACAGTGGGCTGACACTACAGTATATGTCTTTCATAAAAAAGAGTGGCATAGCAAACTTTCAAAAACAGGGATATATATATATAGAGAGAGAGAGAGAGAGAGAGCACGAGCAAATGTGGCAAAATGTTAACAGTAAATGAATATGAGAATTTTTGAATATTTTGGCTTTTCTGTAGGTGTGAATTTTTTAAAGTATCAATACACAAGGAGCTTTTCCTTTTTTCTTTTCATAGAAACTGTTTCAACCATTATATAAATAACACATGTTCATCATAATCACTTCAACCAATATAAAACAGGATACAGGGAAAAGTAAACATTACCCAGAAGCTCTCGCACCCAGAGATAATCACCGTCAACATATGCAGCTGTCTTTTCCAAGGTTACCTCTCACAGCTTGGCCCACACACATGCTTTTGCTCTACCTGCAATTCGGTTACATACAGGGTGGGGCAAAAGTAGGTTTACAGTTTTAATAATACAAGAATAAACTGTTTTTGTGTACTCACAACTGTAAACCTACTTTTACAAGCCAGATCCTTTCACACACAGTTAATTTAATCTTTATAACCACAGAGGAGGTGGACATCATTACCACCCTTCCCAGCTCAAAGATGAGAAAACGGAAGCTCCAGCCCGGTTCACACAACATGAGGGCTGTCTTTCTATCCTCTTTTTCATCCTTTGCCTACAAGGCTCATATCCAATGCCCCCTTGTTCAGGAGGCTTCTCTGCACCGCTCCAGCCAAGATGAGTCACTTTCCGCCGGCCCCCACAGCAAGTTGAAAACCCCCGCAGCACGTGGTCTGTGGGCTTTTTCACAGCCAGAGTTCATGGCGTCCTTGTCAGCTTCCTCCTCAACCTGGGGGCGCCTCTGGGATAGGACTATTTCCGTCCTGGCAGCATCCTCTGGGGCCAGGCCTGTCACAGGTGCTTCAGGTTTCCTCGTTTGAATGGGATTCCAGTCAGAGTCACTGGATGTTTCCTGAAAATGAATCATCATCCCTACCTGGTTTGGCTCAGTAGATGGAGCATCGGCCTGTGGACCGAAGGGTCCCCGGTGTGATTCCAGACAAGGGCATGTACTTTGGTTGCAGGCTCCTCCCTGGCCTGGTCGAGGCTCACACAGGAGGCAACGAATGGATGTGTTTCTCTCTGTCTCTCCCTACCTCTTCCAATCTCCCTAAAAATCAATGGAAAAATATCCTGGGGTGAGGATTAAAAAAATAATAATAAAATGAAGCATCATCTGAGAAGGCTGAGATGCTCCCAATTAGGCCTGGTGGCATTCCCGTGCTGACTCCAGCTAGGATCGATCAAGTCTGAGGTTATCTTGGGGTGATCCCCAGGCTCCTTCCAGGTTACTTCCTGAGCCTTTCCAGGCCCTCAGACACATACCTCCCAAAGAGAAGAGGAAGATGGCAGTAGGACATACTAGACGATCTTCCCTTTCCTCATCCGGCTGATGGATCAGGGGTTTCAGAACTGGGCGGGGTGGCGGGGGGGGTTCTTAGCAGAAACTTTATGACCTTCAAAGGTCAGGGAGGTAATGGGAGGTAACGGGGGTCAGTGAGGCTGGTGGAGAACTCGAGAGTAGGTGTTCCGCTTGAAGATGTTCACATTCCAAGCTAAAAATCAGGAACCCAGCCTAACAGATTCTGTTTGCCATCCTGAATCTAGATTCTAGCTCAAACCCCTTTAAGATGGAGACTGGGGTTTAAAAATAAGAAGGAAAAGGGGTTTGCCCGAGGGTGTACAGTGAGTCAGAAGTGTCCAGAACCATCATGTTTCCAAGCAACCCATTTGTCATCTTCTCTCATTCCTTCCCTTTCTCCAACTCCCTCTCCTTTGTTACCACAGGAGAGCTGGTCTGTTTGCCTGGCTCTAGAAGTGGAACCATAGCCTTTGCAGGCGGATAAAGCTATCTTAGCTACCCCTTTCCTCTTTAAAATAGATGAAGACCTGCAGCCCAGAGACGTCAAGTAACCTGCCCAAGTTATACAGAAATTTAGACCAGAGACAGCAGCCGGATCTCTAGGCTTCAAGTCTACCCCGCGGCCGCCCCCCCCCCCCCCGCACACCCCCACAGCACACTCACACACACAAAGCAAGTCATTTTGTGAGTGTGAGGTGGGAATAAGAGGAGAGGGAATGTTCCAGACCTTTCTGTTTGTTGTATGGTGTGTTTTGTTTTCTTTTTTAGTGTTTTGAAGAGGAAAGCAGGCTGCCTCTGATTAGGTTTGGCTTATTTTAAACTGAGTGTTTTAAATTCCATTCTGGTGCCTGAAATCAAACTTAATTGCCAATTGTAAATGATATAAATAATATTTACCCTGGTTTCCTGAAGAGCTACCAAGGCTGCAGACTTGTCATTTAGTCATATCAAAAACAAATGCCGTAAGCATGCGAAACAGCGAGGAGGAATGTGGAGAGACATTCCTAAGATCCAAATGAGTGCTGCCCTTGGGCCTAGGGGAGAGATGTGTGGGCCCGGCCTACCCACACGCAGGGGAGCCTGCCCCTCATTCCCAGGGGACACCTCCTGGTCGGAGGGGGTCTCTACACAGTTTACAAAAGACAACTCAACCCACATTCCCCCCTGGGTGCAAGCCCAGGGCTCTCCATGAGAACATACTCTCTTTTTTTAACCTCGATAAACACCCATAATTAAAATAATTCATTAACTCTATTAATAGTTACCAAGCATCTACTCTGTGCCAGGCACTGTTCCAGCTCCTGAGCAGACAGTGATGAATGAAAAAGAAAAGGGTGGTGTCTGCAGAGGAGCTTAAATTCCGAACTAACATTTGTGAAGGGTTTTCTAGTACCAGATGCTTTGGGTAGATTATTTGCTCCTTTAAATAAGTATCTTGTTCCAAAACAGCAATTTAAAAAAAAAAGAGAGAGAAGAAAACTGGTAATTAAGAAAATTAGTATAAATGCAAAAGAGCATAAAGAAGAAAGTTAAAAATTATGTTTTTTAAATTTTATATATATTTTAAAGGTTTGCATTTTTAAAAAAATATATATTTTTATTGATTTCAGAGAGGAAGGGAGAGTTGCTGTCTCTTCTATTCTCTTCGATATTGCTGTGGGAAAGGGGGAACGAGGGAAGAGAATAGGCTCATTTTGACCTAAGCTGGATGGTTTCATGCCCTTTATCTGGCAGCCTATGAAAAGGTAGACCTGGAAGATGATTTCATTGGTGACTTCTGTGGGCTCCTGGAGAGTTCTGTTCTTCTGATGACCCAACAAGATAGATATTCTAAGTCAGGGGTCCTGAAACTTTTTAAACAGGGGGCCAGTTCACTGTCCCTCAGACCGTTGGAGGGCCGGACTATAGTTTAAAAAAAAACTATGAACAAATTCCTATGCACACTGCACATATCTTATTTTGAAGTAAAAAAACAAAACGGGAACAAATACAATATTTGTATTTGCATGTGGCCCACGGGCCGTAGTTTGAGGACCCCTGCTCTATCCACTGAGCCAAACCAGCTGGGGCCTGTTTTGTTTTTAACATAAATGTTATGTGGATTGCTGGATGGATGGGTGAATAGAAGGATAAATATGTGACAGAGCAAATACAACAAAAGGTTCCCAATCGCAGCATAATCTAGGGCATTCGAATACAGTTCTCTCGACTTTCTGCATGCTCGAACACTTTTATAATAACACTAGAGGCCTGATGCACAAAGATTCGTGCAAGAATGGGACTTCCTTCCCCTGACTGCCGGCACCGCCTTCGCTCCGGTCGGAGGTGCCTTTCCACCTTCCCACACTGCCCAGAGGCCCGGAGGCTGGGGCGGTGAGGAACGCAAATTAACCTGCCATCTTTGTTGGATTAATTTGCATACCCACTCCTGATTGGCTGGTGGGCACGAAGGTACGGTCAATTTGCATCTTTCTCTTTTATGAGTGTAGATGTGGGGGACAAATGTGACCACGTTTTATGGCCTGCATTTCATTCTCTGTATTACAGGCTGACCTCTAGGCTCGTGGGGCCTGCCCTCTCTTTTCTTAAGTCACCTTTGAGAATCTGAATTCTATGGACTGTTTCCCAGAAGGATGTATTTCTTATTTATTTTCTTGTTAACCACACATTTATCAGTGCTTTGCATGATTAATCCTCATAGTGACACTATCGGGGAAAGTACTCTTACTATCCCCAACCTAAGCCTGAAATTGTGCCTACATCCTCG